ATTTTTGAAGAGCGGCCCCTGATCTGCTGTTCAGGTCAGGTGCAATCTTGAAAAAGTTGAAACTCATACTTACAATATGAGTACAGAATAAATTCACTGAAATCAAGTACAGAAAGAACAATGGTGGACTTAATCAATGATCATGGGACCATTATGTTCCTTTCTGCCCCTCTTTTGGTTGGATTTAATCATGATACTGTAACATAGGATTCAGTATTATTGACACTAATAAGCAGCTTTGTAGCACTTCAAGGAGGTGCTTTTCACCCTGCCTTGAGATGCTACAGATGAGGTACAATATCTTTAGCATGCACATCAAGGGTTCTCCTACTGAGCAACAGGGCAAGCCATATCATGAAGCATCTATCTCAAGTAGCAAGATGATGCAGAACAGGAAGTGTTGGCAAAGTCTTGGGATCCAACGTGATCTGCTACGTGCTTCCTAAAACCAAATTCCTATCCTCAGGAGAATGAGAAGATACTGTCTTGTTAAGATTCAACTCTCAACCTGGTTAGTTTTTGTAGAACTCCCAGGAGAGAGGTACCATCTTGCTGCAGATTTCACTGACTAGTCCTTGGCTTCAAAGTAGTACCTGGTGATAGTCCTCCATGAACTTCAGGTGGCTCTCCTCACAAATGAGTAGATTGAGATATTCTTTCCAGTCAGCGTGGACAGCCTCCATGTGAGCCTACAAATGAGTAGAGAGTAGACCTCAGGACAATAATAGTTGATGCCCAAAATAAGACATGAACTGGGAGTCAGTGAGGATGACCTCTCACATTGGGACAACTTTTCTAATACGGCCATCTTCGAACCAAACTTACCTCAATGGGGATCTTTCCAGGATGATGTTCAGACAGGAGTTTATTACCATCTTCATGCAGTTTGTTGATGGCTGCCTCTTTCTCTTCCAATTTCCTATTTATGAAATTCTAAGGAAAAGGGAAGGAATGAGGAAACAGACAAACAATATGAAACTCTGGTTTGTCTAGTTACAAGTTGAGTTAAAGGATGGGAAGCAAAAAAGAAAGAACATTTATGCAGGTTCAAAAGGAACGTCCTACACTATAGAATAGCCACTGTTCCCTTTGTGACATCCATAACTGAAGGAAAGCCATCTAAGTGAAATAACATAGTTCAAGTTTCACTTGAATCCCCATAGCTATTTCTAGAAAGCTACTTCAAGTAAGCTTTATTTGCCCAATGTTTTGAAAACAGCCCAACAGAAGCTCCATCTGCACAAAAATATATTTGGAAAGGTAATACTGATATCAAAGTAAGGTAGGTCAATGCAAAGAAAAGGGTCAAATGCAGCCTGAGAGATCTTCCCTCCAGTCCACAGGGCTTCTTAATATCATCCAGCCTAGTGGGTTTACACGTGTTGGGGGTGGAAGAATCTGAGTTTTGGCTGGACTGAGTTTCTCAACTCTTAGCTTTAACAGAATAGTATTGCAATATTTTAGTTCTTCAACAGCAATGGTGTTTAGTCAATGACTGTGTTCATCACTATCCTAAACAAGGGTTTAGCAATAGATGAGTGAGCCTAGCTCTTTCTTGATCTTAGGCACTCCCATCTCCTCCTCTCCTGCCCTGCAGCTGAGAGAAGTTTTGAAATCTTTCACTTCAGCTTTTAATTAATTAGAGTGTACAATTTTATCAGCACCAGAAGTTAAAGAAGATACCTCTTGATACCACAGAATAAAGTTGACTGGTTTTGAGAGAACCAGAGTTCTTATTCATCTCAGAAGGTGGCAGAATCTGGTTGATCTTCTCTGGGATTGAAAGCTAAGCAAGGTTGGGCTTGGATAGTACTTGAACAATAAAGGTTGACAATGTGAAGAAACCTAAGATAACCAACCACAGAAATACCAGGTTGCAACTCTCCTTGTAGGTGGTCCAAAAACAAGAGATGGAAATTCCCTTAGCATTGTTCTCACAACATCAAATGATAGTCGGTCATGGAAGTGGAAGTCTAACATGCAACTTAATTTGAGAAGTGCAAAACTGAATTGCTCAAGCATTCCCACCTATAACATCTGGAAGAAACCATGTACCTCTTTTAATATGCAGCTTCAGCTCCAATTTTGGACCTAGCTAAAATTTGCAGGCCAAAAGTTATTCTGTGCATTCCAGTGTTCAATGTTGAACTGCCCTCCTGTGAGTTTTTAGGGGAAAGATGTTGTCAAGAGAAAGACTCACTTCATACTGGCGACGGCGGGTAGGATAGTCAAGGTTTTGGTCACTCCAGTCAAACTGCAACCTGTCCTTAGCCTGCTGATCTAACCAGAAGAGCTTATTGGTGCAGCGCTGCATAAAATCTTGCAGTAAGTTCAGGTTCTCCTGCCTTCGTTGGGATTCCGACTGCAAGCAGAAAGAGCATTTGGCAAGTGTCAGGTTTGAAAGATGCAAAAGACAGCTCCAGAAAAAACAAAGCAGCCTTTTTGGAAGAGCCATCCCTTTCTCCAGATGGCAAAATCCAGGAGTTTTAGAGCTGATTGCCTGTTGATGGATCCAACTTGTGCAACCCCCCTCCCGCAGCTGAGGTCAAATTTTCCAGCTAGCACAAAAAAACAAAATCTGTTCACCCCAAGAAGTGAACGGTTCTTTTAGCTTCCTAAAATGGCTTTGGGTCAAGTTTCTTGGCTGATTCTTATTGACTATACCCTGTATTCAACAAAGCCTGAATTATTTTCAGCATACATTTAGTCTCTTCTCCTTGCTACCTTTTCCTTTATGGCAGCATTCCCCCACCCCGGCACCCCACCAGATTTGATGTGATGGACAAATTCAAATCTGAGAATTCTGGGAATTATAATCCAACACAGGTTGCAGAAAGCTGTTTTACGGCCTCTCCTTGCCATTCTCCCCATCTAGTCCATTCCCCAGGAGAATACAAGAATTTGAACTGCAAATATCCCAAGTTCAACCTGAAAGTTTCATTTTTTATATTCCAGATGTGATGTTGACCTGACTTCCAGAAAGCATGTTCCTTCTCCTTATCCCAAGAATTTTATTCCTGGGGAATTCTGTCTTCTTGACACTACACAATGCATCTTCTATGTACCCTCTGCCCTAGGCATGTTTTCTCATTTCATCTGATTCATTCAGATGTGCCATAAATACACACATCTGTTTATAAAAAAAAGAGTCTTACCAGCAGTTTCTGGTATTTCATCTGAAGCTCACTTGAATACTCCTGGAAAGAAAAAAGACCAGCCTCAAAAGAAAACCCAGGGGGACCATATTTTTATAGTAAATGCATCACAGTTAAGCATCTGGCCACTTCACTGGAGCCTCCATAGATGGGTGCCCAGTTGATGGGATAACTCCTAGCTAAAGCGTACAGGAATTCTGGGAATTTTAACTCTAACATCTCTGGAGGGCACCAGATAGATGAACATACTTGATGTCAGCCCCTCTAGGTAGACCAGACCAGGAAACCAACTCCACAGAAAGAGTAGAACTACTTTAATTAAGATTGGCTACAACAAACAGAATCTTGCCAATCTGATCTTGGTCTACCTCCTCCTCCTTCTTATACACTTACAATGAATTAGGGAGGTGTCTGCCTGAGCTTCTTTCAAACGTTATTGTGTTGTTTTGGACTTAAAAAATGTTTCAGCCCCTTTCACCTAGGTAACGGTTCCTGCCTATCTCCATCAAGGCTGTGCTCCTTACTCTCTACACCAGTGTTTCTCAACCTTAGCCACTTTAAGATGGGTGGACTTCAACTCCCAGAATTCTGGGTGGGGAATTCTGGGAGTTGAAGTCCACCCTTCTTAAAGTGGCCAAGGTTGAGAAACACTGCTCTACACTGACCATTCATGCTTCCCAGATAAGCATGCATGGAATATCTGAGAATAATCACATGTTTAAAAAATGTACTAATAATGAGTTACACTTTGATCCCATCTATTTCCCAGAAGAAGAAGAAACTTATCTTTGAGTGAGTTTCTCCAAGGAGAGCATTATAAATGCTCATTTCACAGCAACCCTGCAAGATTTTCCACAACTACCTGGCTGTTCAAAGCTCTGTGGGCCTTATGAATCTTTGCTGTTGCAGAAGACAGCAATTTAACAAGCGGCAGGGGACAGAACAACCTTTGGACTACAAAGGTTATTTGAAGGACTGCCTTTTCCCAGTTTCATCTGCCTGACCCACCAGATCGGGGAGGCAGGGTATGTTACTGGTCCACCCATTAAGGAGGTCCATCTAGTTGGACTGAGAAGAAGGGCCTTCTCCATGGTGGCTCCCTCCCTGTGGAACATCATCCCCGCAGAGATAATACTGGCCACCACCTTGATGCTCTTCCACAAGGCCCTGAAGACGTGGTTTTGCCAGTGGGCCTGGGGATCCCAGATTAACCTGGAGCCCATCAAATGGCTAGTATAAATGTATTGTGGTCACCAGGGAGTGGGGTGGGGGGTTGAGTGGGTTTTGTATTTGGGATTTTTGTTCCTGTAAGCCATCAGGAGTCACTGTGAATGAGTTGGGTGGCCACATAAATTGCTTAAATAAATAAATAAACTCCCACAAACCTTTCCACTAACATATTGCCTGAGATTGATGGGAATAAAAGTCCAAACCCCAGAAAGTACCATGTTGCCAACTTCTATGTAGAGTAGAAGAGGATTTGAGTTGAGAAGACAAAAGATAACTTCTGCGATCCTTATTTAAACTCATTATTTGTAAGGCCACCCAGAGTCGTTTATTGAGATGGCTGGCCATACAAATTGAATGAATGAATGAAAAAATAAAATAAACAAATTAATAAAATACAAAATCACAGAAACTAGATAAGCCTGAAACATTTGTTTAAATCACTTTTTAGGAAAATCGTTGATTGCAGAAGTTCCTGTGCCTTCAGCTGATGCGCTCCAGACACAAACTCAACAGGCACAGCTTCCCCAAAATGGGAGAAAATTGCACATGCTGGATTTATCCTGCAGCACATAAAGACTGCTGTTGCTTCCCCCCCACTCCTCCAACTCATCGAAGACCAAAGAAACAGGAAGGATACCTTTTCACCTTCTTTGGTGATATGTGGTCCAAGAGCCATCACCTCATTGTGGAAGATGTTGTGCTCCTCTACCTGACCGTTGACTGATGGCAGGTCTGTGCCAAAGCCTCTGCTGTTCAAGATTTCCTTGGGAAAGAGGGCAAAGGAAAGGTAGTAAGGCCATCATTTCCCACAGCCCCAGGAGCCCAGGCACACTAAGAATCTGGACACCAAGATGGTGCCTCATAGCAAGTCAGACCAGTGGCATCTCATGTTTAGTAGAACCTTCCAAGCATGGTTGGATCTACTGATCGTGATTTCCATAGATTTAGATTGATTGTCAGAAGCCTTACAGATACTTAAGGTACCCACTGTCCCCTTTCAACAAAGAGGTTCTGGCCCCAAACAGAATGTGACCCCTCAGTGGTCCACACAAAGCCTGCTGCAGTTTGGGAACTGATAGAAGTTCTCCCCTGGTCCACAACTCTTACACCTTTATTATGGTAAGTGCTGAAAAGTGGAAAGAGTCAAGGCCATTTGTCACCAACTTTCAGAAGACCATTTCAAGGAGCTGTAAAATTAGATCTGGTGGCCCACAAGGCTAAGGCCTGCAGGTTGCTCATTTCTGGCCTAAAGTGAGACTCCATCTCCCTACCAAATTATGATGGCGATCGTACTATCTGGAGGATAAAGTGGTTCTAGGTAGAAGAATGCCAGCACAAAAATCTAGAAATAGGGCTGTGGACTGTGCCACTGTAGGCCCCAGAGTCCAGTTGTAATGTTCCCCGTTTTACAAAGAAGAAAAGGACAAGTCAGCTTAATGCTAGTCTCCATGAATGCAATGGACATGCATTGGGATTGTAAATAGTGGGTAGGTATCTTTCCCAAGGAGACTAACATTTTGGTGAAGGGCAATTTTCAAGGATAACATGGCAGGGAAGATGGAAGAAGGCTAAGTATTCCATATACCGCTTATCCTGATCCTACTTCTAAGCTCTCCCATATCTGCCTCTTGCATAGCCATTAAAAAAAGCTGGGGAGGGGATTTGAACAATTGAATCTGATCATTCCCAAGCTGGTGTCCTCCAGATTAATTCAATTCCTCTCACTCCCAGCCAGGAGTTGTGCTCCAATATACCTGAAAGGTACCAGCTCAGGGAAAACTGATTTAATTTTTCAAAAAAAGTCTCCCTTTAAGCAGCATTTAGGGGAAACAGTCCAGCCCAGCTCATTTCCTCTTGGACTACATTTCTAATTGAAGGGAGTTAGGCAGAAGGGTTCCCTCCAGACCCAAGAGGGCCTCCAAGTCCATGTCTCCGAATGAAGAAGGCCACCCCAAGAAAACTACACCAATGTTTCCTGATTTGGAGATGCCCTACCTGCTTCTCTTCAATTGCTGAGCACCAGTTGACCTGAGGTTCAATCTCCTGTGGGGTGAAATTGTAAATCTGGTCATGTTTCCCTCGCAAGTTGTTGATTCTTTCCTTTAATTGCCGGATACTGAAGAAAAGGAAGAAAAAACTAGAGTTCTTGCCTGTTTTTTTACATGACACTTCGACTTCAACCTTCTTACATGTACTCCATTATAATACTTGATTTTGCCCAAACTGGAGACTTCTGCCTCACTTGCCCCATTCTGAAGCTACAATTTCCATAAACCTTGATGGAAGAGCTCCCTCAATGCAAAGAGCAGCTTCAAAAGAGAATATTGTTAGACCAGGACTGCAATCCTAATAATTACATACAGTAGAAGAAAAAGGGTAGAATTCACCAGCTGCTAATTTACATTTTCTTTCTTAAAAATGGGCATAATATATAGAAAGGGGGGGGGGAAAGTATTGAGTGTAATGTGTAGCCTGGCCCTCAGAGAAGCTGACAGCAGGACAGGACAACCACAGTTCTTTCCTACTGATCATTTTCTGCATCTGAATGTGCAGAAACAGCATGCAGGTTTCCCTGGGCCAAGGTTTCATATCTACAGATCAAAGAACATGCCCACCTAGATGGCAGCATCTACTTGACTTTTTGACAATCTCAAAAAGCTAAGTGGGGTCAGAAGTGCTTAAACGGAAGACCAAGGCAACAGGTGACACCAGGGCACAATAAAAACAAATCCCATAAAAAAGCAGTGGCAAATTATTCCATGTAATTGCTGAGAAAACAATATGCATGTTTCCATGAAGTCATCTAGAACTGGGTTCAACACAAAAGAAGCTCCATAAATGAACTCACCAACCTCTGTAGTCCCCCAGCGTTTCAGCACAATTTTTGTTCGAGAATAGTATCAACGGGCGTTTCGAATTCAGTATTTTTTTAAAAATGAAAAACATGTTTGACTTGGATAATTTGCAGGCATTGTTTTGAAACTAGAGAGGAATGCAGAGACATATGATGAAAAGTAACACAGGTATCTGGTCAATGTGACCTGTGCTAACATCCCCACTCACTCTTCCGTGATCATGTCCCCCTGAGGGTGTTTCATGTGGCGAGCGATGGCTGCGTCCCCGTCCAGAACATAGAGGAGTTTGTCAGATTCAATCAACTTATCTGCAGTGAAGTCCTGGTATTGTGTGGGCTGTCCAGCCTTAAGTTTGTGCAGGTCCTAGAAATCACCATGATGTTAGAGATGCAATGAGAAGAATGCTTCATTAAAACGTATCTTTTTGCATTATCATGCGCTTGGAAGAAGGACTTACGTAAATTAATTTGACTCTGAGACAAAGTTTAATATTGTCAGAAGTCCATATTCTTATGAACTATATACTCCTGACATGGAAGTTGACAGCTAGGCAACGGAAATGAATTTGCATGCTGTTCTTATTGCTAAAAGAGTAGTTCAACACTGGAAAGGCAAATGTTTAATTTTTATGCTGCACAGATATGTTGTGGAGTTGGGTATCCTTAGAAATCTAAATTATAATAAATACATGGCCCCAATTACTTAGTGGATTGAGGATCTGATGTTTTTGACTTATGAAAGACTTGTTTATAGACAATTACAGTGAAATTAAGAGTGTTATGCAGATGTGTGTGTGTGTGTGTGTGTGTGTGAAGCCTGTATATGTATAATTTTGTGGCTGTTGTTGCTTTGCTTTCTCCCTCCCCCCATTTTTTTTCCTTGTGCAGGTCCTGGAATGTATGAGCAATGGGGGAACCGCTGTACAAAATGGCATAATAAAACTGCATAAAATTATCCCCTGCACTTTCGTCCCAGCTCCCAAACTGACATGGTAAAAACTGATGCTGGAAACTCTTATAAACCCAGTACACTTCTGTTCTCTTGTCCTCAACGTGAGAATTTTTTAAAAAGAGCCTTTGAAACAGAAGCCCTCCTAATGAAAGAGTTGCTGTCTCCAGAAGGGACATCAGGAATTTCTATAGGAGTTGTGTCACTAAACATTTACAGGTTTTAATTGTTTATGTCTTATTTTAAGTGAATATTTATGGATAGAAAGGACAGTGGTATGAAATCAAAATAAGAGAGAAAGAGAGAGAGAGAGAGATGGGGGAGGAGGAGGAGGAGGAAGAAGAAGAAGAAGAAGAAGAAGAGGAAGAGGAGGAAGGAGGAGGAGGAGGAGGAGGAGATGGAGATATGGACCAGCATCTAGGACACAACATGCTGGATATCACAGTAGTAGCAGAAAAGCAAGTTTTACTCATATATGTGATATACCAAATGACAGTAGTTTAGCTCAAAAGGAACTGGAAAAGATAGTAAAATATCAGGATACAACAACTGAAATACAAAGATTATGGAATAAAACAGCAAAGGTTTTGCCCATGGTTACTGGAGCATTAAGAGCTCTAACAATAGAATTGTCAAAACAGCTGAAAAAATAGAATTGTTCAACCTTAAGACATTCAGCTTCCAAAAACCAGCTTTGCTTGAAACTACCTTCCTATTACAGAGATATTTGGACAATTCTTGGGCTTTTGGGTAAAGCCTGAATTGATCCTAAGCCACTGAGCATTCTTCAGAAGAGAATACTTCATCTTCCTCATCATCATCTTCAAACTCAAACTGTAGTACAGATTCAGAGATTGTCCTTTCTTTTTTTCTTTTTTTTGTAATTCCCAGGTTCTCTGGTTGCTTTTTAACATTCTTACTGGGGAAATCCTTTAAGAGGAAAAAGGTAGAAATTCTTTCAATCACCCTATTAGATCTGGTCCCTCTGGAACCATTCTAAGCCGCTCGGTCTGTTTTTCTATCCCATGCCTACGCCAACACAATCACACTTCCTCCCACACCCCCAAAGAGATGTTGGATGTGACACCGGTTTTGAGAACATCCTCATCAAGAGAAGTTCAGAATTGCAGAGTGTTGGTGACTTCTCCCCAAACAGTTTTCTTTAACAAGATTTATTAGAGAGAAGAGGAACATGTGGTCTTCATGGCCAGGAGGGATGTGTGTGTGTGTCTGTGGTGTGTGTGTGGTTCTGAACATACCATGAAATTCGCTGCCCCAGACATAGAAATGATGTTCCAGATTTATCTATAGGACCTCAGTGAGAGCAAATAACTTTCTCATGGTGATAGACCAGATGCAACCCCTCTTAGCTGAAGCAAGCATCAGATGCTGCAGGATCACATTTACTAATTGTGCCCAGAAGACAAACTGGCAGAGTTCACACAGCACACTAAACCATAGCTTCTTTAACCATGCTTCGTGGATGAAATCACAGAGAGTTCACTGGATTCAGTGGACATGTCCGCATGACATACGTAGGTTAACTTAATGACGGCTTGCTCAGTTAACCCAAGTTCCTGGGTGCACACAACACACTGAATCCTCACCTAACCACACGGACTGGAATGGCACAATATGTAATGTGTAATGAAGTAAATGCGTTTTGCTAGTTTATGGTTCAGTGAGTCATACTAATGCACTCAGTATGCCATTAAAAATATTTACAAACCATGGCCAATAGATAAAAAGCTATGGGGAGAAGATATTTTTGACGTGTAACTTTAAAAGAGGGTGAAAAGTTCGTATAATAGTTTATGCTCGGTGTGATGAAGGTTGGAAACGTCTTTATTTTTGTCTTTCTTTTCCCTTCTATTTTTTCTTTTTTTCACTTTTCTGCACTTTCTGCATTTTTTCCTTCTAGTTTAGTTTGTATTCGTTTTTACTACGTTTATTAAAAACTTCAGTAAAATTATTAACAAAAAAAATTACAAATCACAACAGGTGGGGGCACAGAACATGCTAAGCCATGATCAAACAAACCATGATGGCTTAGCATGATACATGAGCTCGGCCTCTCTCTTTCACTCCCCCCTCACAGGATTGTTGTGAGGAGGATACTGTTGAGGGGGGAAAAGGCCACAGACATCACCCCAAACTTGAAAAACCAGCATTTTTTAAATTACATCCTCCTAGAAATTGTAAACTGGGATCAACCCTGACATACATAAGGAAAGGAAAAGAAATGCATGGTGCATGAACAGACCCAGATCTGCACTGAGGGGAACATAACCTTTTGTCACAGTCTGAGAGTTCCAGATGACTCATATCTGAACATACTTGTTTTAAGCAAGTTTAATTAACTATTCAAAAACTCACAACGCAACTTACACTTTGCATTTTTGAGTCCGTTTCCACAATGTTCTTTTCAACTTGGTCAGCATTTTTCTGCAACTTTTCAATCAGTTCTGACAGCTCCTTGCTGGAAATGCTGTGAAAGGAAACACAACAAAGTTGTTGTTGTTTTAAGTGTGCGTCAGAGGGAGGGAAGCGCAGCTCCATCTAACTGGATCCAGATTTGGCCTTAGAAATTGAACATTTTTGGGGGGGAAAAAAAAGTCCTCCACCATAATCTATGTAAAGTATCTTTTTTCACATGTTTTAAGCTTAAGAGAAAGAAGAATTTCTGGAAAGCTTTTGAATGACCCTCAATATTTTATGACTGAACATCAGAAAAATGTTGTGAGTAGTTCTGCTGTCCTCAATTCACTTAACTTATGAAATAGCAATAATTGTGGTTGATCTGCTGAGGACTAAACATTTTAGACTTATCTTTGCTGTAGGTCTGCTTTTAGTTTACAAAATGGTTTTGAAACTTGCATATTCCCCAAACCACCACACATTATTGTTTGGGAAATATAAACTGGAAAACTTTGTCTTGCCCTTGGCAAAAAGCAAAATCCATGGTAGACCTGCCAAGTCCTCTTCCAACTGGCCCTGCCTGCATCTTCAATCAATTACACAAATGAAGCTTGGTCTGACTTGATGCTAGCTAATTGAAAGTGTTTTTCTTCTCCATTCTTCATGTTAGGCTGTTGCTCAAGGTACAGGAGATTCCAGGAGTGGCAACGTTTGGCAAGGATGTCTCTGTATAAAGCTCAGGGCAAAGTTGGAAGCATTGAGCAAGTTCAGTGGGAGTCCTGCAACCTAGCAAGTTGTGGCAGTTGTTCTACCTGAGATGGTTCCTAGCACCTGGGAGGAGACTAATGCCTACCTAGAGTCTGTGTGACTTAATGGTGCTCCATCAGGTTAGCAAGCTCAAGAGTGAGCTATGCAGCTATGACCAGAGGGCAGTAGAACAGGGACAACCTCCTTTGGCCAGAAGCCATGCTAGCTCTGATTTGCCAGTGGCAAGAGAGGGAGGTGAAATTTTGGGCCAAGATAAAATCCAGAGATGAAGCTAGCTACTAAAATGTTGTTGTTGTTTTCAAGGTGGAGAAGAAGCTAATGTCATCCCTGAATGGCTGGATCCACCATGTGTCACCACAGCTGATTCCAAACCAGGTGAGCAGGGTCATACTTGATTAGTTCTTAGATGGGAGTTCAGGAATCCCAGGGCTGTAGGCTAGACTGGGAAGTCACAAACACATCTCAAAAGAAGGCAAGGGCAAACCACTTCTATATTGTTGCCAAGAAAATTACACGGATGTGTCTGTAAAGTCACCAGCAGTTGAGACAGCCTCCAAGGAATCTTTCGGAGATATCCCCAGGCAGTGGGGTGGGGTGGGGGACGGGAGATGGCAGCAAAGGATGAAAGAAGCATAATTCCATCATAACACAAGGTCCACCTCTTTTATACATGACAGCCCACACGGAAAGTGGCAGAGCTTTCATCACAACAGGGCAACGCTGCTGTCATCATTTTGACCAAAGTCCTTCATCCTGCAGATGCCTCTGGAGTCTTTATCTTGTACCTTTAGTGCAAGGAGATGGACTGAACATTAACCATAGCTGACTTAACCCAATTTGTTGGCTTCCTCCAACCGCCCAAACTAGCCAACAATATTTTAGCCTACTGCATATCCAACCACTAGATGGGTGGGAATCCAGCTGATACATATTTCAGAGCAGGCTATGTGCTTTGAATGTGATGAGTCCCCATTTGGGGTCATGATCCCTTTAAGCAGGGGTTCACAACCAAAGAATGGGATCTCTCACCTCCTTTGTCTTGGCCTGGGCAACCCTCTCCAACTATCACTGCTGAAAATCAGTGGCGTACTTTCCCTTCCCACCACTGTCAGATTGGAAACCCACATGGGTGAGTGGCTATTTGAGGCTGAAGAAACTTTCTGTTATAAGGAAGAGCCCAACCCTATCTAACAGTACCAAGGAAAATGGAAAAATCACTCCCCTCCATCTGTTGACAATGCTCCACTTACTTTGCGTCATCATCTCACCCCACTGATCCTATGGGCCCCCAAAAGCCACTGAGTGGTCCCCTGAGCCACAAAAGGTAGCCTACCTCCTCTCTTAAGGACAACCTTTTTGGCATCGGTCTCAAATGGAGAGCGATCCTTTTCCAAGTCCAATTCTCACAGAATTCTCTTTAGCCAGATTTATTGAAAAGAGAGGGATGAACTTACAAGAACTCCAGCTATAGCTAATCTAGAGCCAATTATTCCCGAAGGACATTCAGGAAGAGATCTCTTTAGTTTTTTTAACTGGATTTTTACAAATCAGCAAGTCATTTCAGTGATAACAAAGGAGTTTGTAGGCGGCTGTTGATAACTTTGTCTCCTGCACCCTCATTAGTCTGGGGACCAACCATGCCGTTTTCCATGCCAGATAGACATTCCTACAAGAAGGATGCAATTGGGGAAAGCCAATCTCTTATCTTCTTTCATGCCTCAAGTTAAGACATGTATCTCTTTTCCCTTCTGGGGGTCCTTTAGTCTTCCTCTCCCCCCAATTCAAACCAGCCCCTATTTATATCGCTGTATCCCTCCATCTGCAAAACTGCATTCTGATTCCTATTTCTGAGTATTCTTAAGGAACTCCATCCCCATCTTTCTAGAGCTGGGATACATCCTCCCCCCTCCCTTCATTCTTACCCCCCATAAGGCTCAAAGAATGTAAAAATGCAAATTGTTCCCTGCATGAGTCCCTGATCTGAGCACACAGAGTCATAACAGTCAGCCTCCTCTGGAGCTGGCAAGCAATTTGGGCACACCAAGTCTCGAATTATTTGATTTTCAGCAGCAGACCAGCCACAATTCCATGCCATGCAGTTTTTTTTATTTATTTAGGGCAATTGTACGGGGAATCAGCATGCAGGTAGCCCATAGGATGTTGAAACCTTGGGATGCAACAATTGCCTCGTGCTTTTGGCCCCCAACCAGGCAGCAGAGAAGAAGGCACAGTGACAAAGAAAGAACTTGGCATCCAGACAGAAACCACAGAGCGTCCGCACAACACAGGGTGGAATGTAATCCTCTGGCCTGACAGGGACCGGAATAACCCAAGCCCTTTCTGAGGTTTATGAAACCCGTACCTTTCACATTCCCCAAGCCTTCTGGCCCGAGTTCACTTCCATAAAGCAGAGAAGCATCACTGAAGAACTCAAGAGCAAAACACGACCCCTGCAAATTGGTCCGGCTCCCAAGCAATCCCAAAGTTGTTATTAAACAGGAGTTGTTCAGTGTAGCATTCTCCACCTTGGAGACACCAAAGGTCTCGGGAATTCAGCTCCCAGGTTCCTGGTTACCTGGGAATTCCAGGAGCTGCAAGCCTAACCTCGTCAAAAAGTGACCAGGTTGGGGAAGGACCGATTAAATAGGACTTGGGGGCGGGGGGGGAACTTAACTTGTAACTTTATTTATCTGCATTTTCTGTTTTCCGGACTGTATTGTCCTTTCTTAATTGTTGTGAGCCACTCAGAGTTGCTGAGTTGGGTGGCATATAAGTTGAATAAATAATAATGATTTATTGCTATCATCATGTACAGCATGGGTTATAATATGAAACTTAGAAATCAAAGCAAAGATAGGTTTTGGTCCTGGCCTTACTCTCATTGTTTTGGGGTGCAGCCCCCAGAACTTCAAAAGCCAGGTTTAAGTCTTCGATAAGAAGACATTATTCACACTTTTCCTAACAGATGTCAAGTAAGTCTGTCCAGCCCGTAGATGGGCAACCTGTAGCCCCTGAATCCTATTTATCTTGCAAGAATAGAATTATTACGGATGAGCTCCACGTTGCTAGCAAGACCAAGGAACAAGAACTTCACATACTTCAATAAGGAATCTTTTAATGGTTGTTTGGGGGTAAATGCCTCCATTTTGGCTCCATCTCTCTTAATGTTCCAGAAGTCCTTCAAGACCTGGCTATGTCATCAGGTCTGGGGGTCCCAGGGGACCGGTGACCTTCTAAGATGGCTCCATTGTTGTGGTTAATAATCCTGTGCCTTTTTTTTTACATTGGAATAATGACGGTTCTCTATTTTTTTACTAATAACTATTTTCATGTATTTATTGTTTTATTTCATTGTTGTACGTCACCCAGAGTCACTTTTTGTGATGCGGGCAGCCGTATAAATTTGATAAATAGATAAGTTGGGTAAGAGCAATTTCCCAGCTTCGTTTTAGGGAAGTCAATAAGACAGAGTTTTCTTGAAGGATTCGAAATGCTTCTTCCCAAATGTTTTGCTACCTGGGCTGAACTGACAATTATAAGATAAATTGCCAAAGGAATCACGTTCTATCACATGATTGTGTGTGATCATGAGATCTCCCTTCTGTTCCTTTCTCAGCCTCCCCAAAATCCCATATAATGATCCACATGAATTCCTGCAGAAACACAGAACAACATGGAGCCTCCACATCTTATGAGCTTCAACTCTGATGGGCCCCAGGTATCACGGCCATGAAAGAGAATGAGGGGAGAAGATCTCCATCTTCAGAACTTCTGGAGAAGGGAATTATGGATTTGGGGATTAAAAAGGGTTAAAGAGGAAGGGGAAAGAACAAGATGGTAATTACTTGATAGAAAGAAGGACGGAAGTAATAATTCTATGTTTTCTTACTTTTCTCTTTTATTTTCTCTTTTCTTTTCTATTCTTTAATTTTCTATACTTCTATTGTACTGAAAATTTTTAATAAAATATATTTTAGAAGAAGAAGAAGGAGGAGGAGGAGGAGGAGGAGGAGGAGGAGGAGGAGGAGGCGGCGAAACAACTTCTGGAGAACATCAAATTGATCTTTTCTGCCAGAGTAGGAAACAAGGATGGGAACTGAAATAAGGACTATAAAAACCGATGCACACCATTCTTTTACTACTCCACGCAAGTGGTTTCCCCCCCCAGGATTCTCCATCTCCTCTACCATCATTCTGGTTGGTTGAACCGAACAGCCTGGCGTCACACACTGCGGGTCTGCTTCATTGAGAAAAGACAGCAGCCCCTGCCAAAGCTTATGGATCAGCAACGAATGAAT